CACTGAACACTTGAAAAATTGATGGTTAGGAGGCACTGTGGGACCCACCTGAACTTGGGGGCATTAAACCTTAGTTGAAACTTTCTTTTAAAAAAATATGAAACTACATGTGGAAAATCAACTCAGAGGAGCGTGCATTATTCAGGAGCTGCTGTGGCAGTCAGGACAGCAGCCTGGGGCTGGCATCTGTCTCTGCACACAGCGGTGGTCCCCCGCTTCCTCCTGGCTCCGCCCCCACCCCCATCTTTCCTGCTTACCAGCTCTTCTTTCCAGTAAAACCCCTGAATCTTTAATAAATTATCAACCTGCTTGCTCGACTGTCTGCCGGCGCCAGATCTCAGTGTTGGCAGCCTTTTTCATTCCCCGGGTGCCCCTAATAGATCCTACTGTTTGATGAATCTTTTAGATCCTCTCACGGAAAGCCCATAAACAGGCCAAGCCAACTCTCCTCACTGCAGCCAGTGTTAAGATTTTTTCCTGGCCCTATGGCCTTGTTACTGTCAGTGAGCAGGGCTCATCCCTAAGCAGGGCTGTGGTCCCCCTGGGCCTTGAAGGGCAGATCTGCCCAGTATCAACCCCTCGGACTCCTGTGCCGTAACCAGGGTGAGTTCACAGCCTGACAGTAGAGGCCAACCCCATGTTAGAAGTCGTGGAAACAACTCCACTCATCTCAGCCACTCACCAGGTATGTGACCTTGAGTGAGATTCTGAGCCTCAGTTGTTCTTATCTGTGGAGTACAGGTTCTCAGAGGCTGTTGTGAGGGTCAGAGGAGACAAGGATGCGTCCAGGCACCGTGAACTGTGAGTCGGAGGAGATACTGCCAAATGCCAGGAGTGGGGATGCCCATGCCTTGGAGCTATGAGGCACTTTCCTGCTGCCGGCCTGCCCTCCCTGGGCCTCTGCACATGGGAGGTGCTTATGGGACTCTGCTCAGCCTCGAGGAAGAGCCCCCTGTCCTTTATCCCCCAGGAGCATGAGGCTGGAGAGGGCCATGCCCAGGAGCATAGCAACCCAGGCTCTAGCTCATGCCTGTTATGCCACCAAGTTCTGCCCAGTTTAGGACATTGGACTGGGTCATCTCCAAGCCCCTTCCCTTTCTGAACTCTGACTTTGTAGTTCTAGTCCAGAAGCACTGAACATTGCCTGGAGGCTGGTCCAGCCACTATATGGTTGTGATAATAATCATTCTCACCATCATTTACTCATCAGCTATGAAACTCCAGGAGTTTTGCCAGCATTCTCTGCAGTCTTCACAAACAAGCCTGAAAAGGAGGTATTTGTGCTCATTTTACAGGTGACAGTATTGAAGCTCAGAAAATGTAAAGGACGTGCCCAAGGGCCCACAGCCAGTTTTCAGCAGATTTGACATCACAGCCCTACTGCCTTTAAAACACTGGTGCTTCACTCTTTGCTCCATTCTCCTCTTGCCTCTCTGGGCCCCTCACCCACCATTGGACAGGGCAGAACCACTCACCAAAGATGCCTTTCCAGCCCATGCAAGATATGGCTCCACCCACTGGGAGGAGGAGTCTTCGGATTTGAACTTGATGTTAAAAACATTGGTAGTTACTATTTGTCAAGCATCAATTATTACCTAGCATGGTAATAATCTAGGGGAGGAATCGACAAGTTCAAAATTGTTGTTTCCACTTCCCAGATGAAAAAACTAACTGAGGCTTAGAAAAGTAAATCTGGTGTCCAGCCACACAGTGGAGCCTCAGCTGTAGAATGCGCTTTGCGATATTTCGTTCAAATCAACCACGCTTATTGGATGTCAGCTACAATCAAGGCTTCTGATAACTGATGCTCTGAGAACTTTAGCAGGAGAGCCTTGGGCCCAGCCGCTGTTTTACAGATGAGCAGACAGCAGCCTGGAGAGATGGATGGTTTGCCCACTGTCTCTAGATGGTCAGTGGTATTTAGACACCCAGGCCAGTATTCTGTGAACAGAATATTCACTCGGCACCCAGCCTGAGGGCCCAGAACTGTGCCGTGATGGGGATGCCGTACCCCATTTCCATCCATCCGTTCCTACCTCACCCTGTGAGATTCAGCACCTCCTTCTCCATAAAGCCTTCTTCATCAGCACCCCAGGTGTAGACCCCCCTCCCTCTGCTCTCCCAGCACCACGTGTGCGCACACTGCCGGTCCCTGTGCGGCCATACACCTGCCTCCCAGCTGGACGCTTCTAAGGCAGGAAGAGTGTCCCTGTCCCCAAAAGCTCTCTAAGCAGATAACTCCCAGTACCTCCTGCACCAGCTTGCCCCCGAATAACTTACCTCACAAAAGCTGGGACTTGGGATGTCGTTCCTTCCCAGGGTGTGAAACAGAAAGCCGTCTCCAGCACGGGGTCCTGCCTGACCCTTGGCACAACCCGGGCAGTGCGACCTTCTCGGTCATTCTGCTCATCCATCTTTTCGCCCCTTCTCTGGTGGAGACAAGGAGGTTCTGCTAAGCTCTCTGCTTTCTCACCTTCCTGTGAAGAGACACATGATTGTCCTTTTGCTCCCTGACATCCACTGCATTCCTTCTGGCGGTGACCGTGCTCGCTACTGCCTGCCTCTCTGCCTGGGTCCCTCCAAGCCCCTCCTGCCCCCACGGACCCTGCAGCACACCAATCGATGGATCCCCCCGGCCCCGAGTCCACCTTCCCCAGCCACCTGCCTTCCTCCCTCCCCACTGTTCCCAACTTAGACTCAGGTCTGTGTCTGAAGATAGGCAAGTCCAAGGCCTCTTCTCACTGGGAGGCCATTACAAGACATTTTCTTTACTCTTTTATAATGCTTATTTAATGCACAACAAATCACCCCCAAACCTTAGTGGCTTAAAACAGCAGGAACCATGATCATCTTTGTAGTCTGTGTGGGTCAGAATTCGGAGCATCTTGGCTGGGCGGTTTTGTCTTGGAGCCGCTGGAGCTGCTGTCATCTGATGGCTTGACAGGAATTGGTGGACTGCCAAAGTGGCTCATTCAGACTAGCTGTGGGCAGGAGGCCACAGTTCCTCCACACGCCAGAGTCTCCCCACAGGGCTGCTTGAGTGTCATCAAGGCACGGCAGCTGGCTCTCCCCAAGGGGCCGAGGCAGGGCCTACAGTGCTTTTGTGACTTAGCCTTGGAAGTCCCACAGCCATTTCCATTGTATTCTATTACTCATACAAGTTTGCCCTGATCCCATGAGGGACAGAAGAATACAAAGCATGAGGACCAGTAGGTGAGAATCTTTGGAAGCCATCTGGTTACCGCACTTTTAAAACCATAAACGGCTAAGTCGTCAGCTAACCTAGGAATACATTTCCTGAATTTCTTTCTCTCTTTCTCCATGAATGGGGATCTGGTATACTTAATTCTTATTCTAGGGACATGGAGCTAGACAAAGGTCTTTTCCTCAAGGAACTCATAGTCAACCGGGGGAGACAGAGCATCTTGAGAAGTGCCAGAACAGAGATATGTACAGAATTATGGGAGCACAAAGGACAGGTCATTACTTACCTGGGGGAGTATGGAACATGTTCCCAGAAGATGGGATAGTTGCTCTAGGTCTTGAAGGATGAGTAGGAGTTCAAGTAGAGAAAAGAGAGAGGACACTGCTCCATGCAGAAGTAATAGAGCAGTGGCAGAGAGTTATGGCAGCAAATGAAGCTGCCATTGTGATAGGGAGTTTGGACTTTCTACCTGAGGGGCCACCAAAGGCTTCTGGCCAGGGGAAGGCCCTGGCAGAGCTGTGTGGTGGACTGGACATGACTGGCGGGGGCAGAGAGCAGAGGGCAGAGGCAGGAAGGCTGGTGAGGAGGCTGCTTCAGGGATCCCCCAGAGGAGTAAAGACTCTCTGAGCCGGGCCCCCTGGGAGGGTTTATTAGTAGGTGGAGCTGATGTAATGGGGTGAGAAATTATCTGTGTGGGGGCTACGCAGGAAGGCCTGAAGGTCATGATGTACCTTCCACTGTCTCTTCCCCTGGGGCCTTTATTCAGTGTTGCTCTTGTAGGAAAGAGTGTTCAGAATTATCAGGGAGGCCAAAGGGACGCCAGGCTCGTTGGCCTAGGACTGAGGTTCTTAAGTGTTTTAGGCCACAGACTTCTTTGAGAATCTACTGAAACTATGAACCATCTTCCCAGAAAAAAAAACAAAACATTTGCATATACAACTTTGCAAATGATTTCAGAGAGCTCACATACCCCTTGTAGTCCATCCTTGGGTGTCCGGGCCCCAGATAAAAAGCCCCAAGCCTGGGAAGAAATTAGAAAATGGAGAGAGGAAATGTCTGACTCTCCAAACATCTGTTATTTACTTCCTCGTTTAATATCCCTGAAAAAGCGAGAAACAGGAGGAAACATTTACCCGGCGATCGCCCCTGGTGCCACCAGCCTCACTTGGTGGGTTTATTTCCATTATTATCGTAATTTCTGAGCTGCAGGCTACAATTTTCACTTGCAGTGAGGTATTAAATTGAAATTACCCCAGATGTAATTGTCATACAAATGATCCTGGACACAGGGAAATGAATGCTTTTTCAAGATGGGGTGTTATTGCGTATGTTGGTTTTAGGGCTCTGCCTCTTTAAACAGGCTGGATTTCGGTGTGTGTGGCAGGAGGTCAGGGGTCAGCGTGGCATGCGGGGTGGGAGCTGCTGGCCCGGAACAGGAACACGGTGAGACTGGGCAGCAGAGCCCAAGACTTGGAGGTGGGCTTGTGTGGCTACTAGGAAGCACTGTGCAGTAACTCAGGTGGGTGGAAAGTCCCACATTTATGTTCCATACATCAGCTTAATTTGGCTCCATGCCCAGGTTCCCTCGAGGTGAGGGAAGATTCAGCTCTAATCATTCTCAGAGCATCCTCACCCCCCTTAGGGCCAGGTGAAGCCCTGGGGTCTCACCCAGTGCTGGGCTCCCCATCACCTGGACACCAGGCATCTGTCCACACAGGGGGTGCTCTTGGTTCCAGCCCTTTAGATCTGTTTTGCCTCTAAAGGCCTTCTTGTTCCATTGCCTTTCCTCCCCAAGATGCACGCTGCTTGTGTACTGCAAGGACCTCCCCCCGACCAGCATCATCATCACCTTCCACAACGAGGCCCGCTCCACCCTGCTCAGAACCATCCGCAGGTAAGAGCCTTCCCGTCTGTCAGCCCTCGGCACTTAGCCAGGGTGTGCCTGCTCACCCGGGGACCAGTTCAGGCATCTTAAGTATCTGCTAGGCCCCGTTTGGCACACTCCACGTACATCCACTGGTAGTCACTCCTCACACTCCTATGAGGGTGGCTATTATCCCATTTCTTAGGAGGAAAGACAGAGGTCTGGAGCATTAGATGACTTGTAGAAGGTCACTGAGAGTCACAGAATGCTTGGTCCCAGAGTGCTTGCCCTTAACCACTGCTCTAGGACATTACTTCTCATTTTCACAGCTGACAAGGAAGCTGGGTTCCCTTGAGGCTGAGTACATACTCCGCCCCAGCATCAGGCTGGGAGTAGTACTGGGGTCTGCCTCTCCACCGCCTCCCACACACCCAGGGGCCATGGTGCAAGTCAGGGCAGCCTAAAGGTGATGGCTAACGTTTGCTTTTTCTGCCATCACCTTGTGTTCCAGCCCTGTGCCCCCTCAGGCCTCTCTGCCCACACTCTGCTCCTAGTCTGGGCCATGCCCTTGCTCTGACAGACATATCCTTGCTGTGTGTGGCCTTGGACCTGCAGGGAGTTTTCCATATGCCGAAGTCCCAGTCCAGCCCTCAGCAGACCTCCCTTACAACACAGATGGGGCTCTGGAGACTTGGCCCGGAAAGCCTCACCCTCATTCTCAGAAGACCCTGGTTGTTTCAGCTCCCCGTCCCCATGCTGTGCCCCTTCCTCTCCTCTGGAGCCCTCTCCCCACAACATCACCTGGCCTGCCCCTCCTCACTCAGTCCCCAGGAGCACTGGCGTCTTAGGTGGTGGTCACAGCAGCCTCTGGTCACTAAGTCCCCTGGTGTGCAGACGCGCCTTGGCTCATGCTCTCAGCTGGGGAGGTGAGTGGCCACCTTCACAGCTGAGGAAACTGAGACCTGAAGATGCAAAATTAAGGCCCCGAGTCACTCAGCTAACACTGATGAAGCGGGGTTCTGACCCTTGCTCTTTGATCTCTGAGTTCTTCTCAGCAACCTGAATAGGCAAGGCCAGTCCAGTGGTGGCCTTCAGCACCCCTGGGGAAGGTGTTGGAACCAGGATGCACCCAGCCACGCCTCCAGCAGAGCGAGGGGCTGGCCCTGGGGTAAAGTGCCCGAGGTACCTCCACCCACCTGGGACACATAGCCCATTGGAGACCATCTGGATCTGCTAGCACATCCTGATCAGATGGTCCCCTGATCCCACAGAGAAGGAGGTAAGATTAAACATGGACCAAAGAGAGTACAACCAAGCATAGCAAAATCTCTTGTCGTTTCCATCAATAAGCCGCACCTTCCCCTCTCCTTCCCACACGGGCATGGCTGTGGGCAGATGGGACTGTCCAGGGATGGGAGGGCATCAGCAATAGGCCCGTCCTGACAGTGGGCACCACGTCTTCGGTGCCACCTGTCACTCATGAAGAATGTCCACTGTGAAGGTACCCTTCACAGTGTCTCTTAGAAATGCAGAGAAGGCCCAGCCAAGACACATGATCTTCAGCCTGGCGTTTCCCATGTCCATGGGGGCAAATGGTGAATGGAGGCCAAAGCCACGGAGCTGGGAAGGGCAGGAGCCAGGATTCGGGTCTCTGACTTTCTCAGTGGGAATGGGAGACAGCTTAGGGTGCAGCCTCAGCCTCTGTCCACTGAGGCCCTGGTGCTCTGCCCTCTGGAAGGGGCCTGGGGACCCATCAACACCACCCTTTTCAGAAGGCCCCACGAAGTACCAGACTATACTCCAGACTCTGCTGGGCCCTTTGCTGAGAGAGCCCTGATCTCTTTCCTGCCTCTCTGAACCACACCCCGCTGCCCAGACCCGAGTGTGACACACAAAAACAACAGAATGGGGGCCCAGGAGCCAGGTGTGACCAGACCAGCGTTAGCATCATTAGCAGGTAGGATGGAAGTGAATTTCAAGGGGGAGGCAAGGAAGCTTACTTCCAGGAACTTCCATGGCCAGGTGTCACTTGCCTTGGGAATTCGTACCTCCCGTCCACTCCCTATCCTGTCACACAAATAAACCGCTAGCCACCGAGAAAGAATTGAATGAGAGCACTTCCTGTCTGCCTTTTGTCATCGATGAAAGACTCTTCCTAAGGTGTCTTTCAGCTTTAACTTTCTAGAAATCTGATGGCTTTGCTTCCAGGCTCTGGCAGAGGAAAGATGCCCTAGGAACTGGGGAAGACAGTTGCCCTCTCCTCCCTCCCACCTAGCGCCCGGCCAGGCCTTTGTCCCTCTGCCTGTCCCTGCCCAAGCCCTCTGCCCCCTGAGCTCCTATGTTAGCTGGGAGGCTGGGGGCTGGGAAGATACACATGGGGGCACTCAGAACCAGACAGAGGCACAGTGGGTGGGTGTTGGGGAAAGGGAGAGAGAGTCACAACCTTGATGAATTAGGGGACTTTCCTCACTTAGGGACGGAGCAGAGCCCTGAAGAATGGTTTGTGTGCATATGTGAGACCCAGGGCCGTCCCCTTCCTTCTGGGGCATCCTCCAGCCCCATGCTTCCCTCGGGGCTCGAGTGTGCACAACTGACTGGTTGCCACCCCAAGTCTCCATGCTGTTGCTTTTTGTAACAACTGAGATTGAGAGAAGCAGTCTCCCAGGCTCAGCTGTTAAGAAACTGGGTTCTGGGGCCAGATTTGCCTGCTCTGCCCTTACCAGCTGTGTGACCCTGGGCATCTCCTTCCCCTCTCTGCCTCAGTTTCCTTTTCTGCCAAACAAAGACCACTGATAATAACTACCTCACACGATTGTAGAGAAGGGTGAATGAGTTCAGGCAGGTAAAGGCCTTGAAGAGTGCTTGGTGCAGAGTGAGCCTGGACAGGTGACAGCAGGTCTGTGAGGCACCTCCAGCCCAGGTGGGCAGCTGGGTTCTAAGGCCCTGGCTCTCAAGCTTGAGTGGACATCAGAATCCCCTAGAAGGCGTGTTAAAACACGATTTCTTGAGCCCCCCCCCCCGGCAGATATTCTGACTCAGTGGGTCTAGAGGGAGGCTCTAGAATTCGCATCCCTAACAAGTCCCCGGGTGACATGATGGCTGCTGACTCTGGGATCACACTCTGAGAACCAGGATCGTAGTGATTATCAATACCCAGACTGCAGAGCAGCCGCTGTGTGCCGGGCACGGTGCTCAGCCCTTTTCCTGGGGCTGAGGAAGTTGTGGTGCTGACGGCTGAGTTCTTACAGGAGCTCTCCAGCTAGTGATTGGCAGACGGGCAGACACAGCACTTGAACCCAAGTCAGTCTGATTCCAGAACGACTAAACTCAACTGTCAACCAGCCTCAGGTCTTCATTCTACTGGTATTTCTGGAGCCTTTGATAAACGCTGCCTGCATAGAGCCCCATGCAGTTCACAAAGCGATCGCAAATGCATTTCCTCATTTCATACACACAAAAGCCTGTGAAGTAGGTCAAGTATTAATATCGCCTGCCTTTACAAGGAAAATGTAATTACAGATGGAAATGAAGGCTGGGAGCAGTCTGGCGTCATGCACAGGATCGCACAGGAGTAGATGGAGGAGGCTGCCTGGCCTCCCACGCTGCCGTACCTGCCACCTCTCAGAGTGCTCGGAGGTGGGGGGTAGCCCGTGGTTAGGGCTCAGCAGGCAGAAGGTGTAGACACTGATGGCAGCCGCCCTCTGGCAGAGAACAGCGCTGTGACTAGGAGACCCAGTTCTGGGATAATTCCCAGAGTGAATGTGACCTGGACGCACCCGTGAGGTGGGCACTCACTCCCACGCGAGGCTATGAAAGGAAAGGGTATGGAGCAGCCACGGGGAAGTGAGGCAAGGAAAAAGTGCATGCTAAGCCGGGCCCTGGAGAAAAGGGAGGCTTGACCTTGCTGTGGAGGGGCTGGTGAGATGTCCTGGCAGAAGAACTGGTGAGACCAAAGGAGAGAGACTCAAACAACCAGGGTCTGGGTGGTGAGGATGACAGTGGGATGTGCAGACGGTAGGGCCTGGGGGTACGATCTGGACTGAGCCAGGTCCCCTGGGCTGGACTTGACCTTCCTTCTTCTCCAGCCAACCCAAGCACCCAGAGCACCTGCCATCCTCCCAGCTCTGAGCCACTTTTTGGGAGCACCCCCGCCATCACACCAATTGCTCTGTTTAGAGCAAAAACCAGCCAGGTGTTACCAGGAAATGGTCTAATTAGCACTTACTGCTGACGATTTTGCTCCTTTTTTTTTCTTTTCTAAAACTTGGACATTTTTTATTTGCTAATCATCTCTCCGTTCAACCAGCACAGAGCTGCACACGATTTACCTTTTGATGTTCACAGAAGAGAACTCTTGAATTTCAAAGAGCCAGCCGGGATTTGGGGGAATGGCATGCAGAAGCTCCAGCCGTAATCAAACCTCATTAGAGGGTATTCTTCGAGCAAGTTTTCCCCTCTCTTTCTGCCTCCCTCTCCCCCTCCCTCTCTGATGAGAGGGCTGGTTGTTGGGTTTGGCGTGTTTTCTTTTGGATGATTGTGGTGAGGGTTCCCTCCTACCACCTCCTGCCCTCCGTGTCCCCACCTCCCAGCAGCGGGCTCAGAGCTGGGATCTGGGTTCCTCTCTCCACCTTGCACTAGTTGCCATGGTGAGAATTAAGGCTTCATAAATAAAGGCAGCTCCAGGCAAAGAACTCCTCCCAGAAAGTCTCTGCATCCTGCTTAGAAAGGGCAGCTCACCTGAATGGGGCTCAGAATGGTCCTCCCGAGATGTCCTCCCACCTCCACCAGCACCCATCCGAACCCCCTCCCCAGCACACACAGGGCTCTGGGTGTCCCACAAGGGGTGGTGTGGTCCAGGAATGTTTCTGAGGAACCATGTGGGTTGGGGTGTTCAGGATAAGCAGGATCCAGCTGTCTCACTCAGGCCTGAGACCCTGAGTGAACATAGAAGCCTCACCTTGTTCCTTGGGTACAGATCCACAGCACTGGAAGGTAAATGAAGTCAATTCAAAAACCACTATGGGTCCACACAAAACAGTAATCGTTGCTACCACTTTTTAATGCTTTTATCAGCAGAAATTGTGCTAACTGCTTTAGTAGCAGTCTCCTTTAATTCTCCCAACGGCCCTGTGAAGCAGGTACTACTTAATCTATCCCCATTTTACAGATGGGAGTACTTCATTGCACAGAGCAGTGAAGTAACCTGCCCAAGGTTACACAGCTTATAGTAAGTAGCCCCTAGACCACAAGCTTCTGGAGTCAGAGCTCACATCTCCCCTTACTCATCATATACCCAGAACCTAGCACATAGGAGGTGTGCACTGAACATCCCTGGAGGGAATGGTTATGGGCCAAGGCACAGCTGGACTCTGGCAATACAGACAGTAACTTGACAAGGCCTCTGTCCCCTGGGAGATGACCATTAAAGGGGGCCAGCAAAACCAGCCCTCATAGTCAGAAAGCTTCAGATACAAACGGCAGAGGGAGCCCCAGAGGAGGAAGCAATTAATTCTCACTCATTTTCCAGGAGGACCAGCACATCTTGGTCACTGATGTGATACAGGATTTCCAGGAGAGGGAGTGTCTTTGAGGATGACTTCCCAATCTCTGTCTGGGTGCTGGGGGTGGTGGTGGCATTCGTTAAGACAAAGCAGGGTTATGTTCTGGTGGCTCTCAGGTGAGTTGTGTGGCTGAGTTTTATTCTTCAAATACAGTGGTGTCTATTTAAAGCTTAGGTTAATACATAGATTTGCCACTAGAAATCATAATGCTCTTTCCTCTTTCCAACTCACAGCATATTAAACCGTACCCCTATGAATCTGATCCAGGAAATCATATTAGTGGATGACTTCAGCAATGACCGTAAGTACCATCACTCCCAGTACTGTGGACACAAATGTGTTCCCAGCCCCTGTATAACTGGCAGAGGTGAGCCTGCTGGTTCTCTGGGGATGGAGGAAAGCCTGGGTTTGTAGTGGGTATAGAAGACTTTGAGTGTCCATACGGGGCTCAAGAAGTACATAAACCTTCCATCTGAAAAACAATGTCTTGGGTTCTCTGCGATGAGTCTTTGAGGATCTACCCAGTTCAATTTAGTTGATTGCTGATGTGGTTGGTGTGTTTACAAATGTATGCATGCACGTGCTTATGTGGCACTGTCCCCAACCTGCATTCCTGGAAATGAAAAGAGGCCCCACACTTTCAAAGGATGGACACTGGGACCTCAAGCCCTGAAGCAGTGTCACATCTGGAGATTCCTGGCTCATATGTTCTGATAATCCGCCAGCCTGAGCTAAGGGCACCCATCTTCCCCCTTCCATTCCCACAGCAGGGCTGGGCTGGGAGGACTCTGTTTTAGGGACATCCCATCATCTGGCCGTGACAGTGAGCAGCTGCCTTCCAACCTTCCAACCACTGGTCGTTACTATCTCCTAGTCGTCCTGTCCAAGAACCTGGGTCCCACCCAAATTCATACTCCAAGACCCCTTGCCCTGAGAAAAGCACACGGGTGTTTTTAGACACCTGTATGTTCAGTTTGACAGTATGATTGTTGTAGAAGTCTTACACTTCAAGCACTGGTAGTGCTGACTCCTCTTCTGAGAGCCATCGTCCCAGCCCCGGTGCTGTTCCAGGCAGTCAACACATCCAGGCAGGACTGCCTCTTCCCTGTGATGAAACGGGGGAAGCGGGTGGTGGCCACTAGGGACAGCTCCAAGTCGCAGAAGCGTGGAGTCTATCCCCACCAGCCCTGGTGCTGGAAGCTGGGCGTAGAAGCCACTGCCACACTGGGGTCTATTGTAGGAAGGCTGGAAACCCACATCCCTGACACAGCATCCGAACTTTGGAAATAATGCCAAAGTGATTTGTGCACCAGATCCAGGGTAATAAGATTGGGCTTGAGTTCTGAAACTCTGTGATCTGATCTCCCTTCCCTAGTGAGGAAGGGTTGGAGGTGGGAGACAGTTTTCCTGCCAGGAGGTAGCCTGCCATTGAAGCTGGAGAAGGAAATGCTGCTGGATTCACTTAGAAGCGGAGTAGCTGAGTGGTCAGAGCGTGGCCCCTGGTGCCAATTGCCTGGCTTCAAATCCTAGACCTGTCCCTTACTCTCTTCCTGGCTGTGTGCCTTATCAACCTGAAAGTGACTCAGTTGCCTTGCCTGTAAAATGGAGAGAACAATAATATATACAGTTTATATAAGGCTATAACTGGGTTAATACATTTGAAGTGCTTTGAACAGTCCTTGGCTCAGAAGCCCCTATGCGTCTTTGTGGTCACTCTGTAGAGTCCAGAGCCAAGCAGAGAGGCTAAGGTTGGTAAACCAGTGAAGCAAAACCAAAACTGAAGGTCCAGAGTTCAGCACCAAGAATTGGTGAACTAGAGGAGTGATGGGGCAGGCAGGCAAGCCAGGGTGGGTCCCCAAGACCGGTCTCTTGCCCATCCTGGCATAGCTCCCCACATGGTGGAGAGGTGAGCCAGCTCTTTGTGATGGAGTACATGGCCTGGATTCCTTAACAAACAGAGTCTCCTTTACTAAGTGTCCATGATCTGAAAGGAAACTCCAAAAGTTATCTCACCTACTCTCTGGCCTCCCAGCAACTTTTTACCAGACCCTACTTAAGTGAATAGGACTCCTGTCTCATGCTTTGAATGATCTATAGAAAAGGAGCAATGTCCCCAGGTGACCATGCCATCCGGAAGTGTTCCAGCAATTACACAGGTGCCACTGTGTGACTGACCTGCTCCCAAGAGGCCCCCCAAGGCCACTTTGCACAGACTGAGCCACGTTGTATACTGATAGCCGTGGCCAGTCAGCCCCTTCCAAAGCCCCCAACACCCTGAGTCAGGATGGGGCCCGGTAGTTGGGGGTGGGGACGGGAGCCCGGGCTGCCTCACCTACTGTGCACGTTCACCTCCATCCCTGGGCTCTCAATCCACATCACCTTTTGTCTTTGCAGCTGAGGACTGCAAACAGCTCATCAAGCTGCCCAAGGTGAAATGCTTACGGAATAATGAGCGGCAAGGTAGGTGTGTGCTGCTGGGCGGGCCTGGGGGTAGGGGTGTGGGGATCAGTGGTATGTGTGTGCCTTTGGGTGTGTGTCTTCAGTGTGGTTGGACAATTGAGCAACAGTGGCACCCAGTTAACCATTTGTCCCTCTTGCAGGTCTGGTCCGGTCCCGGATCCGGGGTGCTGATATAGCCCAGGGCACCACCCTGACTTTCCTCGACAGCCACTGTGAGGTGAACAGGGACTGGCTCCAGCCCCTGCTGCACAGGGTCAAAGAGGTGAGTGAGGCGGAGTCCATGCCCCTGACTTCCCCCAGCTCAGTCCTTCACATAGGCCCTCCATCCCTTGGGAGGTGGGTGGGACAGATTGCTGTCCCCTTTTTATAGGTAAAGAAACTGAAGGATAGCAGCCAGCCCAGGTCACCCATTAGACAGTGGTGGAACAAAGTCCAGGACCTGTTCTCTACATCACACTATCACCCACAGCAGGTCCATGACACATGCAGCTTCCTGGGCAAGAGAACTGCCCAGAATGATTTCTCCCAGGCATTAGAAGTTTCCAGAAAGGGAGTGCTGATAAGTGCCATTTGTGAAAATGAAGCAGCAGAATTAACCAGGCCTCGTCACTCAATTCCTGAACTTCCACCCACATGTCACCCTCAACCAAAGGCCAAGGCAGGGGGACTGGATGCTAAGAGACCTGAATTCCTTGCCTCTGTCTGCCGTTAAATTACTCGAGAATTCTGTCTGCTTTCTCTCTCCATGTCTCAGTTCTTCCTCTTGAGAGTGAAAAAAAATTTTAATTTCCCATCATCATTTTATAGTCCCCAAAATCCATCCACCCCCTCCTGATCTAGAGAAGGCACTGTGTGTTTAGATGCTAGTGTCTGTGATTAGCATTTATGCTGTTTATTTCCCCCCTCAAGTTACTGCCTCCTGCAGCTGCTCTGTGAAGTGGGAGGCCGGATATTTTTAACATACCCATTTCACAGATGAGGACATCACCTCGAGGAGAATTATATGTCTTGGGCTGATATTCCCTAGTTGGTACCGCCAGCACCAGAACCTTCCATGTTGCCTTAACAGCATCTTCCCCGTGCTGTGGTTATTTCCTTCTCGCTCTTCGAGGGGGCTCCTTGACTCCTACCTGCAAAATGATGGTGTTCAGAGGATGAAAGAATTGAGATGTGTAAACAGCTCAGAGTGCTAAGAAATCCTTACCGATTTTGGTCATGCCAATGAGAGAACCCTGGTGGGTGTACAAAGTTCTCACACATTAGCCTAGATATCCAAACTCATCTCTTGACCATTTTTCCCGAGATGGGGAGGGCTCACATAAAGGTACAAGATAACCAGGTGAAGAGGTCTGGATTGGGGAATGGAGATTATGAGCAGACCATTCCATTGAGCGGCTTCTCCTGGCACTGGAGGCCCTTCTAAGTCCTCCCCCCTAGCCCCGTTCTCCACCTACAAACAGCAAGCCCCCCACCCCGGTCAACATTCCAACAAAGCTGGGCTGCTCCTTCCCCCGATTGTGCCCCGACATTCCTACTGCTTCATCTCCCACCAAGCCCTTCCTGTTCCTGGATGTCTTTTCCCTCCTTTCCACAACCCTCTTGATTTTCAGGGCCTCACTCACATTTCCCCTCCTTCAGAAAGCCTTTCCTGGCTGCATGGCCAGCTGGGATCACTCTCAGCAAGAATTGCCCACTTGGCCCCACAATTTCCTCTTCTGGATTTAGTTCTCTGACTCCCCTAAAAGATTACAAACCCAAGGAGGGCACCAGTCACCTCCTTGTGGTCATAGCATAAGGTGCTTAGTGTTTGGAAATGATATTAATAAGAAACCAGACACAATGGGGTGGAGAGAGGGGTTGGAATAGGAAGTAAAAAGGCTCGCTTCCTGACTCTAAGTAGCAGACCTTTATCAAGCACCTATTTTGGGCAGAGTTTCTAGGGGAAATTTGGGATGGACCACGTGAAGGGCATTCACACCCTCCTGGGCTCCCCAACCTCAAGCTCTTCAAACCTTGCTGTTTAGGGGTTTTATGGAGCCTTCTTTATGTAGGCAAGATTGATTAAATCATTGGCCATTGGTGGTTGAACTCAGTCTTCAGTACCTCTCCTCTTCCTGGGGGTGGCAGGCGAGTAGGGAAGGAAATGGGCAGGGTTGGGGCAGGGCTGAAATTTCCAACCCTTTAATCACACATTTTGTTCCTCCGGTAACCAGCCCCCATCCTCTAAGAGTCAGCTCATTAGTATAAACTCAGACATCGTGAAAGAGGCTTATCATGATTAAGAACAGATGCTCCTGTCACCCCATCACTCAGGGAATTCCAAGGGTTTTAGAAGGAACAAAAGCCAAGTATATATTTCTTATTATATCACAACATCACTGTGTGTACCACCTTTTGTTCATTCACTCATCCTCAGATGGACATTTGGGTCTGCCTTTTTACAGTTTTTGTGAATATTTTTGCTGCAAACATTTGTGTACAAGTTTTCCTCTGAGTACCTGCTTTCAGTTCTTCAGGGTTTATACTGAGGAGCGGAACTGCTGGGTCGTATGGAAATTCAGTGTTTGACCTATGTGGACCTCCAGGCTGACGTGTCCCTTCAAGATGCTTTCCTGCAGCAGCCTTAATGAACCTGGAGTTCCCTTCCATCCCCATGGCTGAGTCTATCTCAGAAGCCCTCCTTGAAAAATGCCTGCTTGTGCATCCCTGGTCAGCTTCAGTGCACAGTGATCATCCTGTAGGAGCCTTGTGGCCCCAAGATTGAGCTCAGCACCCCCAAGCCAAGCTCCCAGTCCCCACCACTGTCTGACCTAAAGCTTTCATAGCAGAGGATTGATCAGACAAACCCAGGACTATGGTCCTGTTCTGCCCCGGCAGAGAGATTCATCAGACCCCGACTCTGGATAATGAAAAGGTCCTGCTGAGACATCGCCTTCAGGACAGGGAGCATGGGCACGTGTCAGCCTGTTTCCACGTGTTTTTGTATGTGTCTCGTTTCAGAGTAAAATGTGATTTGATCTTGTGAGTGGAAGTGGAAATTTTCAGCTGTGATTGGAGTTTAGGATTTTCAAAAATAGAAAGAGATAAGAAGGAAACTGGGCTGGAGCTGCCAGAAGCTGTCCTTAGCTGGTGTTCTCCATGTGGAAAATCTCCTTGATTTCCCTCCCTTCCCTTCAATTTCATGATGCGACTTGAAACAAGCACCGAGTTGTTGGGGGCTTTTTAAACAGAGGCTCCTTTCTCCCCTCTCCTTAGCTACATATTCCTTTAGTACGAAAAAAGATTTTAAGAAATTTCAATCCCTGTAGAATTTGGTAAATTGATAAAAATAATGGCTTACATATGCTTCAAAGCCCTTTCACGTGTTTTACCTCTCTTGGTCCTAACAAAAGCCCTGTTAGGAAGGTGGGATTGTTTTGCAAATAATAATTTGTCTTTGCTTCATAGATGAAGAAACAGAGTTTTCTTGAGGTTGTATGCATTCCAGATGGCAGAACCAGAATGGGAACCTGGTCTCTGGCCCCTCTCTTGTGCCCCACCCCTCCTCCAGGCAATCAGAGATGCCACACTGTCATCCTCTATTCTCCTAGAGAGCAAGGTCTTCCTCATCTTTGTATCAACCACAATCCCTAAACCATAATAGGTCCTCAGGAATGCTGGTTGATGAAGTGAGTGAATGATTGTCTCTAGAAGATTTTTATTGTCCATTCACAATGTGGTTTCCGTGGAGAGAGGAGAGAGGTATGACTGGACGGGTGACTGATGTCCTGCCATTGGCTCTCACTAGCGGTGCTGAGGCATGGGCTTGGATTTGTGTAGGGGAAGGGGACAAATTGTTCTGAATCTACCAGGGATTCCACCAGGTGCCCACTGGAGCCTATCTGTGGATCTAGCCTTGAAGACATAGCCACTGGGGCACAGAGGTGGGGACCTGCAGTGGGTCTGGGTATCTCTCTGGAGAGTCCATTCATCCCTGAGCCTATAGGAGGAGAGGCCTTCTTGCTCAGCTGTAATCGATCTACCTCTTTACTGCAGCCATTGATAGTGTCCTCAGAAGAGTCGGTAGCTGCCCTCTTGTAGCCGAACGACCACCTGCTGCCCAGCAGGCTCTGGCCTGGGGTTGAGGGCAGAGAAAGTGGAGCAGATCTGACCCCCAGGGTCACTTAGAGAGGTTCATATCCTGGCTTTGATGGGTCATGTCGAAAGTCTCCTGCAGCCCCTTCTTGACTCCACTTAGTCCCAAACATCCCACACTGCCTTTCTGGCCTCCATGTCTCTGAGCCAAGCAGATGCCACAACCGAGTTGTGATGTAAATAACAGAAGGACAGACACCCTGAGGACTTACAGGAAGGTACCCCAGAGCCTGCCGCAGCTCAGGAGGCAGAGCCCATGGGTGCCTTCTTAGGAAACCTGTGGCCCAAGTAACCAACCAGCATTTTATCTTGTATTTTGGTTTCCAAATATTGAGGAAAGACTAAAAAAAAGAAAAGGATTGCAGGTTAGCGGTCCCCAAGACCACCCTCAGTTTCAGTAATTCACTAGAAGGACCAGAACTTAGCAAAGATGCTCACACATGGCTACTGTTTATTACAATGAAAAGATCTGGATTAAAATCAGCAGTGGGAAAGGATGCCGGGGGGAAAGTTCCAGGCATGATTGTCCAGTTGTCCCCTTCCAGTGCTGGCAGGCGTGCGTGCAGGCAGCACGCGCTTCTTCCAGCCAGGACGTGTGGCGACACTCACAGAGTGTTGCCAAACAGGGAAGCCCAGCCCAGCCTTGGTGTCCAGGGTTTTTATTGGAGATCAGTCACACAGACATGGCAGATAACTGCCATGGTCTCCATGCTCTTTGATCAAGTTGATGGCCAGAGGTCAAGTTGCATTGGTACCACATGGCCCAGGGCCCTTACCATAAATCTCATTGTTGGCATATACTGTCTGGTATAGCCTCAGGCTCCCAGGTAAACAGAGACACTTTTATAGGCAGAACATGCCAAGGACTTAGAAGTTACCTCCCAGGAGTTGGGCAAGGGTCAGATGTATCTGTGGGCAAGGTTAATCCTTGACTGTACAGGACTCAGTGAAGCTGCAGAGGCCCCAAAACTCAACAGACAAATGCAAAAAGGGGATTTTGTCAGGCCTACAGAGGAAGGTCAGCCTCTGAACTTCTAGAACATTTCAGAATTCAAGTTAGGAGGATGTCTTTGGGTGCATCTCTGTGTTGGTATTGGTGTGGATGGCGGGTGGCTATGTGTGCACTCAGTGTGTAATACACTCAGACCCACGATGACAGTGGCCCCCGAGCATGTGGTGGCTGGGCAGGTGCTGCGCTGACTGTGCAGGAAGCATCTGTGCCCACCCAGGAGGGAGAGCAATGCATTGAAAATGAGCATTTCCTTCCACGGGAGCCAGTTAGCTTCAGAAGCACCTTGTCACTGTCAGGATGAGTCGCACGTGGAGGCTGAGGGCCACATTAAGTCTGTGAACGTAAAGGCAGGCACTCGGTGAATCTGAGCTTAAAAGAAGAAGACAGCCTCATTGGGGGAAGAGATTGAACCAGGAAATTAAATGGTTTCAAGGAGAAACAGAAGTTCCCGCCCGTGCTGAGTGAGGGTGCTAGGTGTGGAGGAGTGGAAAAGTGGTCCTGCCTGCTTGGCCCAGAACTGCTGACTCTCCCCAGCTGCTGGACTCCCATTCGGCTACCAGGTCTTCATGGTCAGTCACAGCTCATTTATACTGCCCGCGGGGGCCCAGTCTCCCCTCCTGCAGCTGGGACAGGACAGGAGTGTTCACTCAGAATTAAGGAACTTTTTAAAAATAGATGCCATGCCTTGATGGCACCTAAGAATTTGTCTTGCAGATTTTGCAACCATCTCCTGGATGAATTTGATGGTTACAGATAGGGTAGCCTGGAGGAAACAGCAAGTTGTGAGGCTGGAAAGTTAGGTCCAGGCCTGTTTTTGATGGTCTCAGATGCCAGGCTTGAGGAGTTTGAACCTTCTCTTTAAGGCATTTCAAGTTTTTAGTTGTTGAGCTACAGAATAAGATTTGATGTCAGCCATCTGTAGAATGAGAGGGGAAAGGGTGAGATGAGGTGGGGAGGGGCTAGGAGTCCATGGTGGTATACTCCAGGGGAGGGGCGTGAGGGAGAGGCAGAATCTGTACAGAAGGGCAGTTGTAGAGTTATAGTCGGCAGGATTGATCAAGTTGATGGGCAGAGGTGAAGCTTCTTAAGTTAGTGCTGGGAAAGAAGAGGGATGTGTGATGGTTCTGTTGACAGAAATAGGGAACCAAGGGAAAGGAGCATGTGCAGGGAGACGGTGGTGAAGGCACCACTGAAAGGCTGTGTGAAATCCACATGGAGGTAGCTGGCGGCATCCTGGACCCATCTGAGTCTAGAAGTGAGGAACGAAGTCAAGGCTGGAGGGACAGATCTTAGTATTGCAGGAGGAAATGGAAGTTGGGGATCTCTGGAGATGCTATTCATCAACTTGCGCGTGAACTGCAAGCCAAGAAGGAAAGTCTTGGGAAATTCCAAGAGGTTCCCACTACGGGGCTGTGGCTTTGCTTCTTGGAGCTGCAGGCTGGAGGCCACTTTCCCACTAACCATGTCTTCTGCCTCCTGAGAGCCCCATGTTAGGGAAGGACTCCTAGAGCTTCCTTCTTCCTGACGTCCCTCTGTTTGGTGTGAACCATGCTCCAACCAGCCTCCCTGCGTCTCTGTCATGCTTAGATGGCTGTGAGAGGCTCCCGAGAGTTAGGGAAAGGCTCTTGCATTGGGGGCATCATAACTAGAAAGGTAACAGTGTCCACTGCCCCATTTTACAGATGAGAACATTGAGGTCCAGAGAGGAAAATGCTTGGTCAGGGTCCTGAAACTGATCTCCGGCCCTCCCAGGGTGAGGCCCTACCAAGTCCCCTGGTTCCCTGTCTGGTTCCTTGGCACCACCAACTGAGTGTGTGAGCCTTTTGTTTTCTAGGACTACACACGGGTGGTGTGCCCTGTGATCGATATCATCCACCTGGACACTTTCAACTACATCGAGTCGGCCACAGAGCTCAGAGGGGGTGAGTGGGGCTAAGGCACCCGCCCAGGAAGGACTTTCTTTTTCTCCTACTTGTTGCTGCCAAGGGGGAAAGTGAGCAAAGCCTCTTAGTGGTTTGTCTGGGACATCCAGCCCTGCAACCTGTGATGTCAGTAGCTCCAGTGTGGCCCTTACCACGGGCACTGTGATTGGAAGGGCCAGACGAGCACACAGAGCTCTGGCTCCATCAAAGGGCTCCCTTCAGGGTGGAAGGGTGTGAGGGAGGCAAGGACCCCCTGGCTGTGTGGGGCCTGAATTGTTCCAGCGCCCCATCAGAGGGCACCACCCTCTTCTATGTGGCCCCCACAGCTTTTCCCAGGACTGAGTACTGCTTCCCCAAGATTGATTAGAAGTGATGCCACTCACACACCTCCTGCTTACACCCCTCCTGAGACTGCTGTCCTAGGGCCACACTCCATAACTGTCCATCGTGTCCCCCTTGGGCCCCACCCGTGGGTTCTATCAACCCTGACTCTTCATCCTCTGCCCTCATTCCCTAACTGCCCCACCCCAGCAGAGAGGGCTCAGAGAGGCAGTAGGAGGTAGAGAAAGAGAAGGAAGCTGTGAAAGGGAAATTAGGCAGCTCTGTTACTGATCAGCCCAGGTGAGACCTGTTATCCCTGGGACCACCTGGGAAACTAGGTATATTCATGAACTTCTGATGAAGGGCCAGAATGAGCAAGTTCTATAGATATATCAAAGAATCAGCAGAGTGGACGCTGTGTTTTAGGGTTTGACTGGAGCCTCCACTTCCAATGGGAGCAGCTCACACCAGAGCAGAAGGCACGGCGCCTGGACCCCACCGAGCCCATTAGGTAAGTCAAGGCAAGGGTAGGGTGGGCAGATTCATTACCACCTGGCCCTTCCCACTGTCACATAGTATAGGGAAGCAGTCCACATTAGATGCTCAGAATATTGGGCAGAAACCAAGAGGACCCTTTTTCAGGCCAGCACCACTTTTGCCCTTATTTTAGGAGGTTTCTGTCCTTGTAGAGACTTCTGCTGAAGGGAGTGGGGCCTGGCGGAGATGTGTGCTGAGGAGATGCCCAGCCTTGTCCACCCATGCACATGCCGTGATGTACTTATGCTTCCTGCTAGGTGTTGGAGGGTCCCAGTTGGTCCCGTTTGAGCCTCTGACAAGGGAAAAGGTGGTCCCTTAACCCCCAGGTCTTGAATGTCAGGATTCAGCCCAGGAAGGTTGAGTCAAGCATTGCTGTAAGTGGAGGCCAGTGTCAAGGCATAGCCACTGCTACATCCTAACAAACATGACTGCTGGGTCCTGTGCGAGAACGTGGCAGGGGCATCAATCACTGGGCTGCTCTGGCGATGCTGTAGGTGGCTTTGTCCTGATCTACATTCTCGCGCTCAGTCCCCACTGTGACCTGCAGCACGTGTGGCAAGTTGGCCACCCGGAGTTCGGGACTATCTGAGGGCTTCTCTGTCCCCAGGGCGGGGTCCTCAGGGCAGGTTCTCTTCTGGGAATATCTCTCCTCATCAGAGAACAAGTGTTTGCCAGAATTGGGCCAATTCTCAAGGGACAGTAGGGTGTCGTGGCATCAGGAGGCTGAGCTTCTGACCCTCTCCCCTTCAACTAACAGTTTGACGTTGCAGAAAACTCTTTTAACCCCCTGGACCCACTGAACAACAGGCCAGGTCCCTGAAGGCTCACGCCCCAACCCCAGCCATTGATTCTTCCAGATACATGTCCTTGTGCTTATCAGGTCATTTGGCTGGACTCCCCCAACCTTTCCTTTCCAAGTGGCTTCTCTGACTCTTTCTCGGCAGTCAAGGGGAGAGCAAGTTGAGATGAGACCCCAGGAAAAGAAAGTGAAGATGAGGCTGTGTTCCTTTACTAGCGCTGCTGCCACAAAGTAGGACAGACTGCGTGGCTTATACCCACAGAGACATCTGGTCTCATGTTCTGGAGGCTGAAGGCCCAAGATCGAGGTGTCGGCAGGGTTGTCCCTTCCGAGGGCTGTGCCAGGCTGCTCGCTTGGCTGGCAGATGGCCGTCTTCTCTGTGTCTCTTCCCATCATCTTCTCTCTGTGCATGTCTATCTCTGTGCCTGTGTCCCCTGTGACACCAGTCCTATTGGTTTAGGACCCACCCTAATGACCTCATTTTAACTTGATCACCTCTGTAAAGACCTCTCCAAATAAGGTCATGTTCTGAGTTCCTGGGGTTAGGACCTCAACACATTTTTCTGGGGGCATAACTCAATATCTAGCAGAGGGGGAAAGAGGGGCAAAAAAGAGAAAGGCAAGTCTCAAGAAATGGATGTGCTGTTCACAGGTGCTGCCTCAGCCCCTCTTCTCTGCCTGGTCAGTGGCCGACTGTCCCCGCTGCCAATAGGGAGGCTCCCAGGAGAGCCCCACTGGGCAGGGCCTATGAGAGAGGCCGGGGGAGGCTACCCAGGCCCTCAGAACAGCCGGGGTTCTGAGCAAATCCCAGCCCCCCAGGGGAGATGTGCTGATGAGCGAATCAGCCCGTCTTCAAGGTCAGGAGATTTATAATCAAAGGGGAAAGCCCTGGGGTGAGTTCCTACTTGAGGTAAGTGGACAATGTATTGATCTTTATGAAGAAGAGCAGAAATAGGAAGAATATGGCCTTGAGGTCTGGACCACCAGTGCAGAAGAACGTGACCACGGTCCCCCTCCCATGACTGATTCCCCTCTTTGCCTTCCAAATGCATAGGACTCCAATCATAGCTGGAGGGCTCTTTGTGATGGACAAATTCTGGTTTGACTACCTGGGGAAATATGACACGGACATGGACATCTGGGGCGGAGAGAACTTTGGTGAGTTGCTGTCTCTGCAAGCTGGGGCTGGGGTGGGGGTCTCTGTGTCCTTGGACCACATGTGCCTGGGATGAGGGTCAGGGAGATGGGGAGCAAGTCAGTCCTTTGGGGGAAGGCCACGTGGGGCCAGAGGAGTGGTTGCCGGGAGAGCAGAGGTAAAGAGGGGATTTCTTCATGGGACAAGTGGATGCTGAGGACCGGGGAAGCACGCCCAGGGGGACCATCAGGGGAAAGTTGAGATGCAAAAGTCAGGAAGACCAACGAGGGGCGCCAAGTCCAAGGGCCAGAGGCAGGCTTCAGTTAGGAGTACTAAACTTGGGAATTTGGAGTTGGAAGGAGACTGGGGATAAAAAGGATGAGGAGGAGGATGGACAGCAACACCGTTAACATCTGGATCACATGTTGGCGACTCTAGCCACATCGCCCTGCATTGGGTTGATGAGGAAGTCTGGGTGAATGCTGCAGAAACCCTAGGGGCGTTTCACCCTAATCTTTTAGTGCAGAGAAAGCGGTGGGGGTGGGAGGCTGGATTACAGGTTCCAGAACAGTGCCAGCAGGTGGCCCAGTGTGGTCGCAGTGGTGTTGGGCTGCCATTTGCAGCTATGGGAGAAAGTACAGTCAGAGACCTGCTCGATCTAACCAGTGACACTGACCTACCCTCCAGCTTCCTCGTGTGTTAAAAGTATCACTCGGGGATGCTGCTTGGGGTTGCTGTGGAAATCCATTCAGATGTCTGCAAAACTCCAGCACCATATGGGCACAGTGTTAGTTACCTCTCCCTCCGTCCAGCAGGGGAGACCTAAGAGATGACTCACATATAAGCTGCACAAGGGCAGGGATTTGGTCTGTTTTGTTCCCGGCTGTCTCCAGTGCTCAGTATGGTGCCTGCTGCAAGGGAGACTTCAGTATCTGTTGAGTAAACCACAGAAGAGGAAGAGTCCGGAGTGTCAGCGCCCCTTCCCATCTCTGGGCACCAGGGAACGCGTTTGGACTGGGCACCAGGGAGCGCATTTGGACTGGCCCCCCGAGCAGCCGGCAGGCCAGGAGAATGATCCATGAGGCTTGCCCGGCATTTAGTGGTAATCCCATACGTTGTCCTCTGCCACTGTTTTCGTCTGTCCCTGCCTCCGGGATGCTTTATGGCTTTCTTCCTCGATCGCTAAGAGTTATTTCCTGGAAATTTATGACTGTTGGCCTGACCCACAGCATCTGTTCTCCCAAACTGGGCAGTGTAGGGAAATCCATCAGAAAAGTCCATCTCCTGCCATTCAGGGGCTGGCTTGGAAGCTCGGGAATCAGAGCAGAAAACCCCAACACCCATGAACAAAACCCTGAGACTCAGTCCAGGGATGCGACGGGGGTCTTTGGTGTGTCTGAGGAGGAATCTGCCTGTACCGGCCCAGGAGAACTTGGAGCCAGGTATGCCCTTGACTTCCTCAATGGGGATGAGATTTCTCTGTTTCTGGGCATCTTCCTTCGTGATCTACTCTCACATTTCCTCCCATCTGTTGAAGCTTTTTCTGCAGCCCTTTGGAGAGACAGGCGCCGTCCACTCTCTGCTTGAACTAACACTGCTTACGATGATGGGTTTGCTGCTCCACAGTTCGGCACATTCTGCCGTTGAGAATTTTCATGTCGAGTGGTTAGAAAATTCTTCTAAGTCCCAGCCCAGCTTCCATCCTTCAGGCCTCGTTCTCCCCTCTTGAGCCACGCAGAGTGCACGTGCTTCTTCCCCGCAGCAGCCCAGGGGGATTCAGGCACCACACTGTTATTCATGATGTCACATTCTGGTCCAGTCCACCAGTACCTTCTCTCTATAGCCATGTTGACACACATCTCACATCCAAGGGCCATCTCCTCTAGTTGGCTTCCCGGTCGTTTGGCATTAACAAGTGCTGATTGGAACAGGGAGGTTGGGAGGGGCTCCTGGGGGTGTGTGACAATCCACAAATTTTTTTTAATCACAAAAAAAAAGCACTGCAGACAGCTCTCACAGGGAACACTGTTTCCTCCAGTTCCAACGTTCCATTATGCTACAGCCAGCTTCCAGCATTTTGAAGGCCAATTCTGAATTTTTGTTGTTGTTGTTGTTTAGTGTTTTCAGTGGTGGGTATATCATGTGGACAGTGTCAGTTCTGCAGGTGAGGATCAGGGCTTTGGAGAGTGATGCTTCAGCTGCACAGGACAGAGGGTGCTGAGGGGTGGAGGGACTTCACTTTAGAATAAAGAGATCCCAACTCCAGTGTGCAGCAAGAGGACCCCTGGCCCCCAAGTCACCAAGTCTTGAAGATCCTCTCCCTTTAGCATTCACTCACTTCCATCCCTCTCTACATCCCCAAAATGGTTCTCCATCTCAAGTCTGCTCCCCTCTAAGCCATCCCCCACACTCCTGCCAAAGTGCTCTCTTGGAAATACAGGTCTCTCCCACCCTCCCGGGCCTGGCAGCTCCCGGTGGCTCCTTCCTGTCCTAGGGACGAGTCCCCCATTCCTCAGCTGGGTGCCTCGTTGGCCTTGCCCACTTCCCCAGCCTTCAGTCCAGAGGCACTGCCAGCCCCTCCTGCACTTCCCAGATGCATCCAGCCACCTGTGGAGACCTGGCCAAGTGCTGGATGACCATAGGGCACAGCTCTGGATCGCCCTCACCTCCCCCAGGACTAGGACCTGCCTGCCCTCTGCCCACCCCCTCAGCACCCCACTCTCCTCTCCACTCCAACGATGGGCCTTCTCATGTATTAGTCTGCTTTTCTTTCTGTGCCTACCACCCTCCACCCACTAAACCTGGTTTGAGGATGGAGGGGGCAGCGTGGAAGTGGCAGAGGCTCCTGGCCTACAGACAGCGAGGAAGAGGGACGGTGAGGGCAAGGAACTGGGTTCTACAAACAACCTGAATGAACCTGAAAGCTTCTGAGCCCCCAGAAAGGAACCCTCTCTTGTTGACATCTTGATTTTTGGCCTTGGGAGACCCTCCGGTGAGGGCCCAACACTAGGCTGGTGTGGTGATTTATTCCAGCAGCAGTAGAAACAGTTACACTCACAGGCCTCTGTGAAGATTAATGAGGCCCCGTGCAGAGGCCCTACTTCCCCTTCAGGCTGCGTGCCAGCAGGTTTGTTAGAGGAGCGCAGTGTTGGGCCCTCGGGAGCAGTGGGTCCCTCCTACTTTCTCTTTCAGCCTCAGCCTTTCCAGGTTCAGTGGCTCAAGATGAGAGAAATGGCCTCCCCTGAGAAGAGCTCCGAGTCTGATGAAGAGTCATCTTCTCCCCCTGAATGGGGCTGCTTGCTAAGCCCAGGCCCAGGTGCGATCTCGTGAGGCCATGCTTCCCACAGGGCCTATGGAGCTGTCCAGAGCACTGCCACGACACTCTATCAGACGACCCGTGGCCACCACGGTGGGCTGGTGGTCACTGCGTGTTCAAGTTAGGGGCCTGGGTGCCATCTTGATTGTCTCAGATGGTGTGAAACACAGTTTTGCTCACAGGTTCAAGGCTGTCCTTTGTGGGTCAGTAAGATTGTCTCTTCTTGAGTCCATGTACTCATTAAAAAATAATAGAGCTTTCTGGCCCAGGAGGCCCTGAGAATGTAAAGGTTATTGAAGGAAAAACCATGTCACCACATTTGTATGTGTGGACTTAGGAGTAACAACAGCTGGATGTCTGTCTCTTTCTGCCCATCACTGTCCCCTCCAGTCCCTTTGTTCTCAATGTTTTGCAGTGTGGCCAGAGGTAGAGTGGATAATGCTGTGTAGACAATGGATATCTGTACCCGGGACATGAGGCTCCACTGAGAACGGGGCCCACTGCCTTCAGTGGAGTCTGTGCCTAGTGCTCCATTTGCCTTTGTCTAGAAACCAGGCTCTAAAGGAAGCCCGAACCTTGACCAGATGGCTGACAAGTGGCATGTGAATAGCTGTGATTCGGTGCCTGGGAAGGAAGTTGTCCCCTCTCCCCTGAATTCTTGTCTACGGTTTGTCAAGTAGATGTTGGTTGTGGCGAAGGACCAGGGGCTTATGAGCGCTGGTAAAACTGCTGATGGGTTGCTAAGAAGACAGAAGGAAGGAGCTGAGTACAGAGGGTGGGGAGGGCAGTTTGCTCTCAATTATTAATCTGAAGTTGAAAGAAAATCAGAATGTAACAGTGCCCCCAATGAGGATGGAATAATTACACATCTCTCTGCCTGGAATTCAAAGTGGATTTGGGTCTGTGTGACATTCATCACCAGGGACATTACGTGGGTGCTGAGTCAGCGGGAACCCCCTACAAACTCCCTGCATCGTCTTTTTGCTCCTTCACATAAGAAAGTGATGACTCTGCAGGAGCTGTGGACTTGGAGGGTGGAGGGTCTGGGCTGTACCTGGAAGGCCCACTGCCTTCCCCCTTGGTCTACAGCCATTCTGACGTACAAGGCTCCAGGTTCTAGGGCCTCTGGATCACAAAACCTTCCCAGAGGCCTCAGCATGTATCTACAAATCACTGGGCAGTCCTGGGAGGGTACATGTCGTTATCCTGAAGTCAGTGGTGTAGATGTGAGTAGGGCAACTCTCTGTCCTAGGTTTTAAGTATTCCACACTGCAGTCATGCCGCTGATCTGAACACCCCAACTTCATCACCCAGACTGCCTTGACCCTGGCCACAGCACAGTGAGACACACGTCTCAGATCACCTTGGTTAGGACAATCTAAACTCCAGAGCTGAGAAGCTCTTACTGCATCTCAGGCTGCTGGCTCCTGTGGGCAATGTCAGCTGGCCTGAAGGCGAGCTGGGACAGACAGTTGTTA